AGTGAGGCATCTTTCATTGAGGAGTGCTGGGCGTTTACCCACCAACCCCACAGTTCCCCAGAGTTTTCTTGAGTGCGAGCAGCAGGAAATATTAGATAGAAGGATTTGGATTGTGGAGATAAACAGATAGAAAATAAAGGATAGCCTCTAGAGGACCTGGAACCTATTCCAATGAGCCCTGAATATGTCTGCCCCAGGGTATTTATAGAGATGCCAAGGGGTGGAGCAAAAGACGCCCCCCCAGCACAGCCAAATGCAGACCATCTCAGACACCTGCACTCAGGCCCGTGGTCCTAATCATCCTCTATGAGGACCTGCTGGGTAAAGCCACGAGGAACCTGAAAATGGGCTCCCACAGAGGAATATATCAGTATGTTTAAACCCTGGTATGAAATGTCCAGTGAAAATGTATGTTGAAGTCACTTTTTAAGAGAATGACAGCTAATAACAGTTCACAGCCAATTGCATGATTAGAATACACTGGGAACTCTCCTCTGCTCTTTATGTGTATTAGTTCCACCAATGCTCATAGAAGCCAATATATAATTATTCTACTTTAAAGACAAGGAAATAAAATCCTGGAGAGTTAGAAGGGCTGACTGATTGGATAATTTTCTTTACAGGGCATGAAAGGCTGTCTTGTACAGGAATTTTCAGGTCTAGGAATTTCCCTGGTAGAGGGCAACAAAGATTGACAAGATAGGAAAGAAATGAGAGGGATGGGGCAGAGGCAGGCAGATATATGTGTTTGGAAGAAGGAAAGTTCTCTCCTACCTTCTATTTTGTCTGTCAATCAAGAGCTAAGGGCATCTGCCCAGCATGAGGGAGCAGTAGCAGGCTGGTAAGTTTGAAATATGGGGAAGGTTTAGATAGACACTGAAGTGAACAGGAAATACCACTGACTACTGAACATCAAAAGACTGCCACATATCACCAAGTCCTCCCAGCAGCCAGAGAGAGAGAGAGAACAAATAGTACTATTCATTAGTGGGGCCAGAGGGTCCCTTCTATGCAGCTTCGGGTCACAGCAGAGGTGGCTGCATTAACTCCATTTGAGAAGATTCTGGAAGTTGGGTCTTGACTACACATTAGAGACATGGAAGACCTTGAAACCGACCAAAGAGATAAGGAGATTGGGATGGGGTAGACCCGTTGAACCTGCACTTATTTTCTACTTCTTTAAAATTGGAGTATGATTATATCTAATCCAGCAAGCAAGTGGTGATTGAACTGCATCCAAAATGTGAAAGAAAAAGATGGAGTTTAGTGGAAGGGTTGAGGTTACTTTCTGTACTCCCTACTTAACCGATGAAACTAAAACAGCTTTAAAAACTTAAAACTGTCAAGCCTATTCATTTTATATAGAAGTAGACACATGAGAATAGGCAAAAGAGGGGCTATCCGGCGGTCACTTGCTGTTGGAGCCCACAGAAGTTTCCTTGTGAGATCTGAGTTTGCCTGACACAGCAGAGCTGCATAAAGGGATGGTTTGACCACAGGCAAGGTTGCCAGGTATCTGGGATCGTCTGCACTTGGCTGTGCTGTGGGGAGGTTTTTTGCTCCACCCCTTGGCATTCCTTTAGAAACCCTTTGGTAGAGACAGTCAGGGCCTGATGGATAGGGGTCCAGGCCCTCCCGAGGCTAGTCTGTGTTTCTGTCTGTCTCTCTCTAGCTTTATTTCTATCTAATATTTCCTGTTGCTCCTGCTCAACAGTACCCTGGAGAAAAGTGGGGGGTCGGATGGCCCCCCACAACTTGCCATTATTGCTTTAGAAGGATTTAGCTCATTAATTAGCTAAAATTGAATCATATAGTTTATTCTCCCCCAGGCTATTAATTGGGAAAAGGGAAAAGAAAGGAAGAAAAATAAGCTCTCAGTTGAATCCCCAACCTGTATAAGTTTTCTGTGGGTGTTAGAAAATTAAATATTTGGAAAAATATTTAATGTTAAAATGCATTTAAAATATATGCATTTTACAAATAAAGATACAAAGATTTAGGAACACTGACTTGTCTGATACAGCTCAGCAGAGAGCAAAACAAACAATTGCCTAATGAGAAAAAGCACACCTTCATTCTCCCATACACACCCACTGACGGTGATTTCACTCACTGACACAGAGTTATGTAGCCTTACATTCTGAAAGTTTCAGAAAAATTTCAAACAATGCTGAGAAAGTTTGAATATGCTATGAAGATTTCATTGAAAACACAGGTGCCAAAGGAAAAATTCACCAGTGGACCAATAGGTGGCAGTATAACACGGGCCTTTTAAAAATTTTTAAATAATATTAATTAGCAAAAACTCATGGAGAAGCTACATATTGTACTCGGTGCTCTTTGTACTCAGTCAAGATTCTAAGTCAAATCCCTTTCTTCCCAAAGGTTACAGAAAGTGAGTAACGATTCAAGGGGAATCCAAAGCTGTTGTCTGCGATCGTCCATTTGAGTAGCAAAGGTTTTGCATAAAAGGAAGGAGCGAAAAAGGAAAAGGGCCAAAGGAGAAGAAATGGAAAGAATAGTAGAGGGCCAGAAGGAGAGAGGAAAGAGGGGGAGAGGAGAAGGGAGGAGGAGAGAAGGCAGCGAGGGAGACAAAATGAGGAGGAGAGCAAACTAATGAAGGGGACCCTCAAGAAGCCAGAATCATAACAGAGCCTCTGTTTATCCTTCAAGACTCATCTCAAAATGTATGCCTGATCACCTCAGATCCCAGCCTAACTTAAATTCTGCCAAGCCCCTTTGGCATCTATCTGATACCAACACCAACATCCTGGAAGGTATGAGAAGGCCCTCTCTTCTGTTAGACCCTAAAGAACAGGAGATCCTAGCTCAGAGTAGGAACAGCAATAACCACAGATGGACGAGAGGATGAGTGGATGATTGGGGTGTGGCCTTTCTTCATCCCTTCCATTTAACCCTTTTTAATCAGACTTTGGTAGGACGCGCTTATCAATCTCTTTTCTAATGTGAAATTCCATTTCACTCTTTATGTGTGACAATTGGTGGTAGGGAAAATGTCTTCCCCTTTGGTAAAAGTGAAGATGTTTAAGATGAGATCAAGCAAACAGGAAGCAGCAATGGTAGTTAGAACGGTCTGATCGAGGGAGACAGGCTATCTAGGAAGCTGTAACCATATGCTAGGCTTAAATACTAGACGTGTCTAATCCTTCTAACAGCATTACAAGCTAATTACTATTATTAAGTCTATTTTATAGGTGTGAACATGAAGCTGAGAGGACTTAATTTGTTCACAGACATTAACTGGTGCAGCGAGTCGTCGTCCTTTTCAGCTAACCTGCACTTACACCATGCTGGGTCCGAGGGGAGTCCCGAAACAGTTCCTATGAGGTGCACAGTCAGAAGCAGGCACACAGTTGACCGGAGTCCAGGGCTCTGAGGTTCAGGCCCTTGCATCTTTCATTGACTACTCATCACAAACCTCTATGCAGACGAGGAAACTCATTACACTCTCCTGCTGGCTCTCGGATGAGCGCCACAGTGAGGCCAGCCAGTAGCTGGGCTTCTTAATGGAAAAATAGACACAGGTGTTTTTCTCGGGGCCCCTAATTCAAGGTCATTTATCCAGTCCTAGTTTTACTAATTTTCTACCAGGCCACTCATTCTAAAATTTCATATACTACAATTATCACCAGGGCTGGGGTTAGGAAGCCATGGAGGAGCTTCCAGGCTTCCCGGCAGTAGCCCCAACTGCTTGTCTGTAGGGGGTAGGGATGGGGGGGGTAGGGGGTGGGGGATGGTAAGCAGGCCTGAGAAGCACATCTCAGATCACCGCCCAATCAGAGGACAAGAGGAGGGGATCAACTTCTTGGGAAAACAAGGGACATTCCAGCTTATGGTAAAATGGCATCAACAGACCCCCAAATGCCAGAGGTTACTGAGAATTTTATTCTCATTGTGATGCTGTTTTGATGTACAATAAACACACCTGAAAAACAGAAGAAAAGGAAAGCTAACAGAAAAACCATGGGACCATACCTATTAGGCCAAAGAAATAATAATGAACAACTTCAGTCTTTCATTTGCCCATTTTCTTGGATGATGTCATCTCAGGCCCTGTAAAGCTGATAGGAAAGTTATCTCCTTTCAAAGGCAATTTTCCTTTGATTAAATAGCATTAAATTCCAGAAAGTGGCTTAAGGAGACCCATGGAGAGTTGAGACAACACAGGACAGATTCCCAGTTTCTAGGTTTATTTTCTTACAAATTTTCCTGCCGTAGCTTGGAGAGGAGAAAGGTCACAGCAAAGCTGTGCGGTTACTCACTAGGTCACATGATGACAGGAATGGAGAAAACTGCTTGAGAACAATGGCTCGGCGGGTTTCAGGAATAAAGCAGCAATCGAGATTGCCCTCAGCTCTAACTCGGCAGAGGTGTACTTCGCTCTGCATGCTCTTCGGAACCCCAAGCTCCCATCTCCTTCTCTGTCCCTCAGGCCTGCAAACAGCTCCCCTAACCCCGGCGGCTCCTGCAACGGCTGTCATAGCAGTTGGCCGCCAGGGGCGCTCTGTTCGGTTTTTGCAGCAACGCTGTCTTTTTGAGTAGACATTTCAAAATCAACCCTCCCCCCCTCCCGCCCCATCTTCTAGCAGAAGAAAAAAAAACAATTATTTTTAAAAGAGTGTTTACTAGAAAGTTGATGGTGGGAAAAGTACAAAGCCATAGACATAAACTATATTATGGAAAACAAATTCGTAATGTAACTCAGATCTAGCTATAGATCTCCTTTCTGAGAAGACATTATAAATGCCTTTTCTAAGCCTGGACTGATACGGGTGCCGAACTAATCCTCAGGGCTCCTAGATGAGGTACCTGACAGAAGTGTCTGGTCATCTCCCCCTCACCTCCTTTCTAGAAAGCTTTGCTGCTGGGTCAGGGGACTCGCCACTGCCCTTCTCATACCTCCAATCTCTTAGGACCAGAGGGTACTTCTCCCTCAGGCCCAGAATTCAACATCTGGCTTTAGGCCTTCCGGTGCCTACCTCACAGATGATTTCCTGTGCCCTTTCAGTCAGTCTTCGAGGTCCACGTACTGTCTAGTCATCGGAGGCAGTTCATTAGGGAAATGTCCACACTCGGCCTCTCCCACCTGGATGCCCAGCTTTATACACAGCCGTTCCAGGTATCAGATTTTCAAACATTTTAGTCCACTTTCCCAAACAGTACACACCGGCTTGACCCACCCTGTGTTTCCATTTTTTTTTTTTTTTAAATGCGGTCACTGTTCCTATGTTTTGGCTAGTTCCTTATCCTGTTCTCACAAATGAACAAAAGGCCACAGATGCCAGATAGTGAGTGTGGTTTGAGACACTAACTTACATCTGATTCCCCATTAGACAGGCAGAAAAATACATCCTCCATGCCTCAAAGTCCCCAGGCCCAAACCTCTGCCAGTCCTCTTCACCTGGACTTTGATGTAATTTCTGTTCGTCACTTAAAAGCATCTCTAACTGAAAACTCATTTGCAGAGCCCAGATAATTGGCACACTCCAAACCCAATGAATGCTCCTTCCACACTGCCTCAGGTTACCCACTCCCCTCTCTGCCCCAAGTACTCTCTGGGCCCCCTCCTCGGGGAGTGATCTTGCATAATCCCAGCCATTACAGTTTACAGCATCTAAACACCTTAACCATAGCTTAACAATAACACGCATACAATAAGAGGAGGGTGGGTCACTCACACAAGCTCTTACAGGAAAACAGGCAGCTCTCTCCCTGGTAAGAAAAACATGGGTCTCCACCCCACCACAAAAAAAAATCCCAGGATGCCCCAGAATGCAGTTTCTTTTCTTCATGACGTGTGGTAAAACACGTCAGCTGCTCCTTGTTGCTGTGCAGATCACCCAGCATCGGGTCACTGAGAGACAGCAGCGCTTGCTCGCACAGCTGATAGGATTAGGAGACGGTGCTTTGTCAGCCCCGATTGAGTCCAAGACAGCCCCAGAATCCGCAGGTGAGATGCGAGGGAGAGGGAATGCGTAGGACTGGGAGGTGTTGAGATTGCCTAGTGCAAATGTTTCTCTTTGGCAGTGCATCTGTATTGTCTTTTCTCTGAAGTTTGCAGTCTGGGGGAGGTAGGGTCTGTGTCAATAAAAACCTGTTTGTTCTTTAACATTCATCTGACTTCAGCAGCTGGCCACTTACATGTCACAGGATTTTTGTGAGACTCGTGTAAGATTATATTATGTGAGAGGGCTCTGAAAATTGTAAAGTTCTCTGCATATTAAAAAAAAATATAGATCATGTAATTCCAAATTTTACATAAAGAATCCCTAGATCTGGGAAGTAAGTATAGAGACTTTGCTTTCCTCCCAATCCATAACTTGTGATCTCCTATATTTCTTGCCAGGTCTGGGCAGGTATATTATTTAAAAGGGTTCAAGCCTTTAGAAAATATCAAGCAAATGATATTTTCTAAATATCCAAGAAACAGTTTCTTCTTCAAGAAAATGCCACAAAATTACAAAAGAAGACAATAAGTACTTAAGTATAAAATAAAAATGGTGCATAATAATAGGCAGATGAGAGATGAATAGCTTAAACAATATTAGATTAAATCTCTTTGATGCTGTAGCCAAATGTTAAATTTCTCCTAATGACATGAGAAACACTTCAATGAAATTAAAGGCAATGGAGAGATGATTATTTGTAAAACTTGCCTTTTAGAACAGCAGAAAAACAGGCTTGGTTTCCAAAACTACAGAGCCAAGAGGCATCTGAACAGTAAACCATCAGCCTTTCCCTCGGTAAGGTTGCTATGGCGACAGCGAGGCTACTGCAAAGCCTCTCAGTGCCTGCACTTCTGCCTTAGAAGCTTTCGCTGAACACATGTTGGATTTTTTTAGGCACACATCCCACCATTAAATACAAAGACACATTGGAGGCAGCTTTATCCGAGTCATCTGCTAAACACAAGTTTGTATCCGTGTTCTTCATCCTAGACCAGTGGGCCCTGGATGGGGTTGTGGAACTCATTCATTTAGGCATTCATTCATTTGGTAGTTATGCATTGCTGCTACTGTATGGAAGACAGAGTGCCAGGCACTGCCTACAATCCCCGGTGAAGTGAGTGGGCAGTTCTGAAATAGGATCATAACAACAGTTCTCCTAGGGTAAGCACAGGTGGCCTGAGGGGGGGGGGGGATTGGGAGGTTTCCTGGAAGAAACTGACTAAAATGAAATGTACTGTCTTTCAGAATGGAGGAGGATGGGTGGATAGAGTGCAAGGAGCATAAACGGGGGGGGGGGAGGGGGGCAGCGGTATGCAGAAGTCTGGAGGGAAAAGAACACGAAACCTCTGGAGAACTGAAGGGCTAGAATTTGAACAACAGTCATTTGTGGAGAGAGCGAGAGCAGCGGGCTGAGAGGATGTGCGAGGGCAGGGAGCACCTGTAGAGAAGAGAGGCAAACACAGCATCCAGAGCTTGAAAGTCCTTGGTGCCATCTTGAGGGGAGGGGTGCTCTGAACACTACCTGCTAGAAAACAGTGAGTCATTTTAGTGGGTTAATGGAGAAGTATGATTTGACTTAGCTTTGCATATAGGGGCCAAGGATTTGCTCAGGAGTGCTTACTTAGCAAACACAAGGCCTTATTCTCCAGCACTACCAAAATAAATAAATAAATAATAAATACACCAAAAACAAACAGGAAAAAAAAACATTCAAACAAAGTAAAAATCAAGGAAGGCTGTGAGCAATTTGTTTTCCATAAAAGCTTTGTAGATGAAAAAAAAAATGAACTAGTTGGTTAGAAAAGAATATGGGTGAGGGACTGGAAGCAGAAAAAGCTCCAGCTGGCCCACTACCACTACTGAAATAACTCAGAGCAAGCTAGACTGCAAATGAAGATAAGGAGGATGGATGGTGCCCAGGCGTGGTCATGCACAAGTCCTGTTAGCAGGTAGGCAAAAGTGAGGTTTCAGTCCCTAGGAACAGTGATACGGGTCACAGTAGAAGAAGGGGGCTTTAGATGACGTCAGAACTGCCCCTGAGATTCGGATTGGAATAACTCTGTGGACAATTTCAGCTGTTAGGTCCCTACAACCAATTTTCAGTTCTTGGTAGGGAGTGCCGAAGCAACTCTTGATGTCTACAGTGCATTGCTAGCTCACCATTTACAGACTCCGGCACATAAATTTAGAAATAATAAATTGTATGAGTTCTCTTGGGCTGTACCTTGGTGAGGTCCATGGTTAAGACAGTTATGGGTATAGAAAGGATGAAGTAATCACCTCTTCTCCCCCAGAGAGTCCTAAGATTATGTCTCTGTTAAGTAGATAAAAAGGGGATAAGGATTTGTGGAATACAATCTCTTGGGGGTTTTAAGAAGCCAACCAATTGATTCCACTAATCCTCCCACTTCAGGATCTCTGGGAACGCAGGCATTCCTGGGTTTCAGAGTTGGTACCCAAAGGAATACAAACAAGAAGTTGTACCATGTCACCAATAATCACAATCCTTGCACACAGGACCCTAGGGTGTTGAGATGGCTCACCACTCACATTGCTACCTAGAATATTCTCTACCTCTGAGTAGAGGGTGTGTAAGTCATTTTACAAGTTTAAATCTATCACCAGGTAAGACCTGAGCATAGCAAGGTTATCAACTCTTCTGTCCTCAGAGACATTTTGAGCTTTTTAAACATATTTGGCTACACCACAAATGCTTTCTTCTGCCTGTCATATAAAAGACACATGCAGATACTGGACCACCTAAACCTGACCTAGCTGCCCTTGGGGACGTCTGCTTTGTCAGCTGGATACAGCTACTTTGTTTTCCTTCTTTACCCCTCCCAGCTGCCTTCGGGTGGGGGTTATTAGCCCCCGTGTTCACCAAGACGAATTTGAAGAAGGGTCTCTGTTTGGAAGGACCGACGTGCTGCCTTCATCTTGGTTCCCCGGTACAGGTGTCCTGTCCTCTCTACAGTCCATATCAGGGCCTTCTCCACTGTGTCGTCCGGGAGCAGTTGTAGAGCTGGGGTTGGAGCTGTGTGCTCGGCTAAAAAGCCTGGGTATGGGCGCTGGGCTCCTGCCTCCTGGTGTCAGCTGGCTTTCACTACCACCGTAGACCCTTCTGACGCAAATCCCTCCAAGGAGAACCGCAGCCTTGGAAGGAAGTCCTGCAACCCAGACGCTGTGTCAGTCCTGCAGCATTGGTTTGCCTGGGTTCCAGCACCAGGGTACGAGCGCCCCACCTCCCTCGGGCGAGGCCATGGTAGAGAATCATATGTTGACTTAAAACCTAGAGGTCACAGAGGGACAGCGAGTGCGGAGGGTGACTTTCCCTCTTTCTCCATCTTGGCCATCGGGTGTCGCAGCTTTTCTCACCTTCTCCATCCAACTTGCACCACCCTGCCCATCCCGGACCAGGTGCAAAAAAAAAAAAAAAAAGATGGGGACACTCCTGGGCTGGCGATGCTGCGCCTAAGCCTCAGCCTGCCCGCAGTGGGTCGGGCTAGGCTTGCAAGGGAGGGGCGCTGAGAGCGAGACGTGGCGGGCGACCTGGTGGGTGAGGCTCCCGGAGGTGCCGGGCAGCTGTTCCCGGGGCCGCAGGTGAAGGCGGCGACCGGGAGGCGCCTCCGGAGCGGCCGCGAGCGGCGGCA